AAACAAGCTCCTCGAGCTTGGTATTCTACTTTCTCTAAGTTCCTTCTTTCTCAAGGCTTTGCTAACAATCATTCAGATTCCTCTCTTTTTGTTCAACACACTTCTACCAGTCTTCTTATTCTTGTCGTCTATGTTGATGACATTCTAGTCATTGGTAGTGATCTTACTCTTCTTGCACAATTTATTCAGCATATGCATACTGTGTTCTCTATGAAGGAATTGGGGACTGTGTCCTATTTCTTGGGCATCTCAGTTCAATCCTTATCTCATGGTTATTTCTTATCTCAAGCTAAGTATGCCACTGAGTTGTTTCACAAAGCTGGTTTAACTGATTGTAAACCCTGCTCCACTCTTTTAGCCATCAAGGCTTCATCTTCTCATTCTTCTTCTTCAGATGAGCTTCCATTTTCTAATCTTTCTCTGCATAGGAGTATTGTTAGTGGTCTACAGTACCTCACTATTACCAAACCTGATTTAGCCTTAGCTGTTAACCAAGCATGTCAGCATATGCATCTTCCCACGAATGTTGATTTTCAAGTTGTCAAATGCTTGTTGAGATATGTGAAAGGTACTCTTCACCATGGTCTGCACTTTACTTCTGGTCCCTTATCTCTTAATGCTTTTTCTGATTCAAACTGGGTTGGAGATAGTGTTGATCGAAAGTCCACTTCAGGTTACTGTGTCTATTTGGGTTCTAATATGATTTCTTGGAGTGCTAAGAAACAGCCCATTGTTTCTAGATCATCTACTGAGGCTGAGTATAGAGCATTAGCTAATGCCACTGCTGAATCAAAAATTTTACCAAACAAGTTTTTATTTGAGTTTTTTAAATTTTTGTAAATATAAACAGAAAACTGAAAACGTAAGTGTTACCAAACGGCACCTAATATTTTTAATTTCTATAAATTGAAACCCTCCATGTCACTTTTATTTCACACAAACATTTAGATTTAATATTTCTTTTCTCCTCTCTTCTTTGAATTTGATTTCACAGCAAACCTCTTAAATTATTTTCTTTTTAGTTTTTTCATCCAATCACTATGGAAGGTTTATCAAAAACAAAGAGAGGAAAATCATTCATCATTAAAGAAGATATGACAATTTGTAAATCTTGGTGTCACATTTCGGAAGACCCAATTGTTGGCAATTCGCAATCGTATGCTCACTTTTGGGGGGAGAATTTACGAAAATTATTGTTTGCTTCAGAATGATCAGTCCAGAACACAAGTGTCTATTCAATCTCGATGGAGTATAATCATGAAATGTTCTAACAAATTTCAGGGGTGTTTAGCGCAAGTCGAAAATCTTCACCCAAGTAGGATTTCTCAAGTTGATATAGTAAGTTTTTATCTTCAGTTATTATGTTTAGTTTCTTATTCTGGTATCGTATAAAAATTAAGTAATGCTGAGATACATACCCAGTTGCTACAATCACAGTTAAAGGCAGAGCCAAAGCTACAGTCTCATCTTGAGAAGAAGTCAGCATTGATATCTTGTTCATCACAGCTCTGTTTTTCTAAATGTTCTTCAGATAATATTTGTAACAAATATAGATATAGTCTTAATGTTTGTTAGACAGTTAGAGTGTTTGATAGCTGCGTTAGTTACTGAGTTAGTTAGATAGTTTTCGCTATATAATATCTTGAGCAGTGTATATGTGGATTCATTGAATAAAATTGATAGTAGTCTATTATTCTTCTCATGGTATCAGAGCCTAACTAAGCTCTTACGAGCATCCTTCAAGATTCATTCATGGTAGATCCTGTTTCTTTACCTTCAAGTCTTCAGTCTCTCCTGTCTAATTTTGGTTCTCTCATTACTGTTAAACTTGATTCCACAAATTCTTTGATTTGGAGAAATCAACTCCATAATATTCTTCGAGCTGCAGGTCTTCTTGGATATGTAACAGGTGCAATACCTTGTCCTCCACAAGAAGGTGTATAGAATCAAGCGGAATTCTGATGGTTCTGTGGCAAGGTATAAAGCTAGATTGCTGGCAAAGGGATATCTTCAACAAGAAGGTGTTGATTTCCATGAAACTTTTAGCCCTGTGGCTAAGCAGCCTACAATTCGTATTTTTCTTTGCTTGGCTCTCTATTTTACTTGGCCTATTCATCAATTAGACAATTCTAATGCCTTTCTTCATGGCACATTAGATGAGGAAGTGTATATGTTACAACCTCCAAGTTTTATTCAATCTTCCAATCAAGTGTGCAAACTTAAGAAAGCCTTGTATGGACTTAAACAAGCTCCTCGAGCTTGGTATTCTACTTTCTCTAAGTTCCTTCTTTCTCAAGGCTTTGCTAACAATCATTCAGATTCCTCTCTTTTTGTTCAACACACTTCTACCAGTCTTCTTATTCTTGTCGTCTATGTTGATGACATTCTAGTCATTGGTAGTGATCTTACTCTTCTTGCACAATTTATTCAGCATATGCATACTGTGTTCTCTATGAAGGAATTGGGGACTGTGTCCTATTTCTTGGGCATCTCAGTTCAATCCTTATCTCATGGTTATTTCTTATCTCAAGCTAAGTATGCCACTGAGTTGTTTCACAAAGCTGGTTTAACTGATTGTAAACCCTGCTCCACTCTTTTAGCCATCAAGGCTTCATCTTCTCATTCTTCTTCTTCAGATGAGCTTCCATTTTCTAATCTTTCTCTGCATAGGAGTATTGTTAGTGGTCTACAGTACCTCACTATTACCAAACCTGATTTAGCCTTAGCTGTTAACCAAGCATGTCAGCATATGCATCTTCCCACGAATGTTGATTTTCAAGTTGTCAAATGCTTGTTGAGATATGTGAAAGGTACTCTTCACCATGGTCTGCACTTTACTTCTGGTCCCTTATCTCTTAATGCTTTTTCTGATTCAAACTGGGTTGGAGATAGTGTTGATCGAAAGTCCACTTCAGGTTACTGTGTCTATTTGGGTTCTAATATGATTTCTTGGAGTGCTAAGAAACAGCCCATTGTTTCTAGATCATCTACTGAGGCTGAGTATAGAGCATTAGCTAATGCCACTGCTGAATTAACTTGGCTGCAACAGTTGTTGAAAGATATGCATATTCTCTCATCTTCTATTCCTGAGCTCTGGTGTGACAACATTTTTGCAATGGCATTGGCTTTTAATCCAGTTTTTTATTCTCGCTCTAAACATATAGAAATTGACTGTCATTTTATTCGGGATAAAGTTGTTGCCAAATTGATTGCTTTGAAATATGTTCCTACCACAGATCACGTGGCTGACATCTTCACCAAACCTCTTTCTACCCCTCATTTTCTTTATTTGAAAGACAAGCTTCTTGTGCAGCCTTGCCCCATCAACTTGTAGGGTAGTGCTAAGATACATACCCAGTTGCCATAATCACAGTTAGAGGCAGAGCCAAAGCTGCAGTCTCAGCTTGAGAAGAAGTCAGCATTGATATCTTGTTCATCACAGCTCTGTTTTCCTAAATGTTTTTCAAATAATATCTGTAACAAATATAGATACAGTTGTAATGTTTGTTAGACAGTTAGAGTGTTTGTTAGTTGAGTTAGTTAGATAGTTTTCACTATATAATATCTTGAGCAGTGTATATGTGGATTCATTGAATAAAATTGAGAGTAGTCTATTATTCTTTTCAAGTAATTAAATAATGTTTCAATTTTTTTTAAATAGATGCTTCAAGCAAAATTTTTACACCATCAAGATGAAAACAAAAATTTTGCCTTTGAACATTGTTGGCCGATATTGCAAGACAATATCAGGTGGCAAGATGTAGCTCCCGGAAATACGGTAAAGTCAAGGAAGCATACAGTGTTTACCCCTAATTTAGCCCTCGATTCCCTTATGGATAATTGCATTTCTCTTGAAAAGGACAACAGTCCAAGTGTTGGTAACAATCCAACTATTTGTGAGGGCAGCGTCTCTACAAGGGGTAAAAGGCCAATGGGTAGGAAATCTGTGAAAGAATTATTTCGGAGAAATCAAGTCATTGAAACTGAAGTCCAAAAAAATGAATATACAATTGGACACATTTAACCAACACCTTGCTGAGAAAGAAAAGAAACAAGAGGAAAGAGAAGAAAAAAGGATTCAAGCACTGCAGGAGATGAAAGAATTTGAGATGAAAAAACATGAGTTTGAGACCCTCAGATGGAAGAACACAAAATAATGACTTCGGACATTTCTCATTTGGACCCTCAGATGAAAGCGTATTACACAATGCCAAAAAATGAGATTTTCGCCAAGTGGTCCTCAAATGTGAGCAGCCCAAATTTTTTTTCCCCTACCTCCTGATGAATAATTACGGGATAATGTATTTTTAAAATTTGCAATATCATTTATTTTTTGATGTAATTGTTAGTCTTTATTTGCAATGTAATTATTTTGTAATGAAATTTCATGTTATTTTTTTTTGAGTATTTTGTACTTCACAATGTAATATTATAATAAAAAAATAAAATAAAAAGACATTAAATGAAGATAATTATATTAGAATAAAAAGGCATTAACTGACATTAAATAACATTAACTGTCATTAAAAAGATAAAATGCAAATTTAATCTAACTCTCCAGCTCGGGACCACAAGTGTTCAATTAGATCATTACGAATTGCGTTATGGGCTTCAATAGATCTAATCCTCTGCCGATTCAACATAAATTGAGCATGCTCCTCATTCGGATCGCGTGACACTTGACAGCCCAAATTACTGGTATCAGTCTCAAGTTGTGCTGCACTGTGTTCATTTTCTGGAATATCACGCTCGTCTTCAATGATCATATTATGCAAAATAATGCACGTCTTCATGATGTAGTACAGATCTTCATCACTCAAACCTCTAGCTGGAACTCTGACAATATTAAATCGTGCTTGGAGCACTCTAAATACCCTTACGATATCTTTTCGACATGCCTCATGCATCCTTACAAATAGTTGTCTCTTTGCACCTTGAGGTTGAGATATTGTTTTCACAATCGTTGCCCAACGAGGATAGATACCATCAGTAAAATAATATCACATGGTGTATGCGTGATTATTGATGGTGTAGTTGGCAGTAGGGGCATGTCCTCCAGTTAATTCAGCAAATAAAGGCGACCTGTCAAGAACAGTAATATCATTGTTAATCATATTATTTAATTTTGATGATGTCTAAAATATTATTTGTAACAATTTGAATTTTTTTAATATACATATTATTTGACACAAAATATTATCTTTTTAAAATATATATATTTGTTAAATATTATTTAAATAAAAATATTTTTGAACACTTTACTATTCACTTTTTGACAAAATTAAAATTGATTAATTATATTATTTTGACAAATGTGATATTGATAATTTGTTTTCTTTTGATATGATCACATAGGATGAATGATATATAGCAAAATTATTTGATTTATATTTTGCATGCAAAGTGAAACTTACTCAAGTGGTGTTTGAAAATAAATCATACCTTTATATATATATATATATTACTATAATAAATAAGAAAAGGTAAGTGTAAAAGTCTGACAAAATTATTGCATCTTATATATATATGCATATATATATATATACATGATATTCTATTCAAAAGTGTTGACAAAGTTTGAAAAAGTGAATAAAGAAAATTTATACAAAAGAAAAGGTGCCCATGATTACAAGAGAAGACTTATGTAATTGTAAATCAATCTTTGAAGATGTTTTGCCTACAGAATTAAAAAGAAAAGTTGAAAAATGCTTTGAATTTTCTTGCATAAGAAAATAGACACAAAATCACATAGTTCTTGACTTCAAGGAGTCCATAATGATGGAGCAAAATCAATTCCCTATTTGAATTCAAAGATATGATTCAAATTGTTTACAAATCGGTGGCTCATATTTGAATTTTGTATCATGTCACACACACACACACACACACACACACACACACACACATATATATACCAATGAAACAAGAAGAAAAAATTGAAGCAAATTATTTGCTTGGTTGAAAGTTGTGTTTTATATCAAAAATTTTTAAAACGGTGGCTGCATTTTTGACTAAACAAAAAGGGAAAAGAAAAAGTTACTCTTACTAATTATTTTCATCTTTTTCTTTATTAACATGTGCTGAATATTTAAAATTAAGAAGCGTGCTTATGTAAGCCATGACGTCAGCAAGGAGCGTCCAACGGGTATATTTTTGTGTATAAATAGAAGTATTGTGTGTGGAAAAAAATCAAGAACTTAAAGAGAAAATTTTCTGTGAGCTCCAAAATTCTGAGTATATTGTATTCTGCTCTTTCACTTTTAGATATAAGTCTAGCTTTTGTTTTTACACTTTCATATCTACTCTTTATGAGAGAATTATTGTAAAATGAAGTTTAAGTAACCACTTATTCTCATTCCTTATTTTTGTGAGAGATTTTGTAAGGGTAAGACATTTATTGTTGAATGAGGCTCAATAGATAAGAGTAAGTCCTGTGCCAAATCCACAAGTTTGGTGGTGTATTTATTCAATTGATAGTAAAGAAAATTTTAAGGAGGTTCCTTGGAGAGTGGACGTAGGCTTGGCGTGCCGAACTACTATAAATCGCAGTGTTTGATTTTCTCTCCCTATCTCTCTTACTTTTATATTGATAATTATTATTCTATTTTTTTATTTATTAAAATTCTAAATATTGTGTTAATTTTAATATTGTGAAATTTTTAATAACCCAATTCACCCCCCCTCTTACGTTGCCTATCTGGGATAACAATCATATAGAGAGCCAGGCATGCCAAAGAAAGCATGCCAAATCCACAAGTCATAGGAGACAACTGCCTCGAGTACAACTGTTGGTTTGTGATAATGTCCAGTGTAAGTACCAGCTTGGGCAGTTGGGCATTTATCCTAACACCAGGGCATACAATCCAAACTCCCTAACATTCCAGGAAACCCGCGTTGCTCTCCCTCTTGAAATAATTTGGCGACATCTGCTTCATTTGGAGATCTTATGTAAACGGCTTCATAGGTAGCAATAATTGATTTGGTAAAAAAATTTAAGGCGGCAATTGCAGTACTTTCGCTGATTCTAATGTACTCGTCTACAGCATCAGCAGGTACACTGTACTGGAGGATCCGAAGGCCTACAGTGATCTTCTGTACACTGGATAATCCAAGAGCACCAGTAGCATCACGGGTTGGATGAAGTACTCATTCACTTGTTGAATATCGTGTAAGATACTAACAAACAATAACCGCCTCATTTGAAAACGTCTTCGGAAGTATTCTTCTGGATAGACAGGATTATCTACAAAATAATCTCTATAAATTTGTTCGTCGCCTTTGACCCTCTCATGATTAATGTATCGACGACCACTTGTGGAACCAACATATCTGGTTTGTTGGTTTAGGCTTAACCTCTGTAATATTTGTTGTTGTGCTGTGAATAGTTGCATCATGATGATATCATCATCAGATGATGAAGATTCATCAAAATCTTCATTCAATATAACTTTAGTCAAATTGTTCATTGTAAGTGGATGGGTGAGTGGGTGAATATGAAAATTGTAGAAAATCTTTTACGTAGATACAGGGAGTTTAGAAGATATGAAAATGATGGGTAGGTGAATATGAAAATTGTAGAAAACCTTGTGTTATATTTATAGAGAAAATTGTGAGTGGGTGAATGATGGATGGTTGTTGGATGGGTAGATGAATAATGGACGGTTGTTGGGTGGGTGGATAATGGGTGGTTGTTGGGTGAATAGTTGTGAGTGAATGAATGCTGGGTTAATAATGGATGGTTGTTGGTAGTTGGTTGTTGGTGAATGAATGATGGGTGAATGATGGATGATTGTTGGTGGGTAATTGGTGATTGTTTATTTTTTATGTGTAGTTAAAAAAAATTATTAAATATGTAGTGATATATTTTTTGCTGGGGTGAATTATATGTGTATATATATACATATATATTCTAATTTTTCATTTTTTTTATATTTGTCTAGTTGGAAATAATATATATAGCGATCCCGGGTTTTACCCTTGTTGAATAGTGCTCCGGACATGTGTCCGTGGATGTTGGTAGTTGTTTATTATCTTGTTTGCATCCTTTTTACTTCGTATTGAGTTATAGGATGTGTTGGGCAGGTTTGTTTCAGGTTGGTTGTGTTTGGGAGCTTAGTGTTGCTGCCCAGATTTTTGACCCTTCGCTCGAGCCAAGAGTTTGTCGCTCGAGCGAGAGTTGAGTTTGTGTCTGGTGGGTCGAGCCAGAGTGGCTTCGCTCGAGCGGGCGAAATTATAGCAATGACAATAGCATTATAGCAATAATGGTTGGAGATGCTCTAACTATTGTTCCCAAACACCGCTACAGTATCTTATTCTGAATAGCCATACATACATATGCACATATGCTAATGTCCTATTTTTTGGTAAAAATATTGTGTGTCTACGTTCTGGTGTAAGTACTTCAAGGAATTGTCATGTTTCAAGGTTTTCATTTGGAATTCGGATAAATTAAACAAAAATTAGAAATTTCAAAGAACATGGCTTGCCTTAGAAAAAAGACACAAATGTTTCTCTATACAAGTCTGAGATCCATATTTATGAACGGCTTCATGAATTGAACATTAATAGATTTTCTATCACTGACATCATTCTCTCTTTCCACTCCCTTGTGGCAAGCACATTGAACTTTCTTTAACTATGGCTCTAGTGAATTTCCTAAACAAAGGCACTCCTATGGGTTGCAGACTATAGTCACAAACATATGGGACCTCCCTCCTCTCCAGCCCTCTTTAGTCCGGCTTTATCCAGCCATTTCACCAGATGGAGATGCGTGGCGTTTGGCAGATCTGAAGGCACCAAGGAGGCCACGTCTATGGAGTTGCTGAGTTAACAAAACGACACCGAAATTAGTCGTTTTGGGTTAACAGAAGGTGACTAACGGGATGATTCAACACTTATAATAAATAAAATAGATAAATGATTTAATTTAATAAAAAATTTCAAACCCAAAATTAAATTTTAAGCCAAAAAAAAATCCCAACAAGTTAATTTTTTTATATAAAAAAAAAAAAATTAGTTGACCGGCTGGACTTCCGGCCAGTCAACCGGTCAGACCAATTTTTTTTTTCTTTTATTTCTTTTCTTGAGAGCTCCAAGGACTACAAAGAGATTAGCTTTTTAAATTCTGATATTCCCTGTCTGAATCAATTACATAACAAATGATGTTCAGCTAATAAAGTGATTGGCTTCTTCAAAGATAGTCTGTGTAACAAATGATAGTCTTTGAAATCTGATGTTCCCTTAGTCTAAGCCAATCTATTTTATAACAAATCAGATTTCAATGATAGTCTTCAAAGACAGTTTACACAAAGACTATCTTTGAACATCAGGCAGGAGATGTTTACACAAAGACTATCTTTGAGATCAGATTTCCTTTTCTTGTTTTCCTACATTAATTGCAACATATTAGACTGAAGTTAAAGGAAACTCTATGAAACAGCACAAAAGCAACCATAATTTATGAAACATGATGGTGACAGTTTCAAAATCTAGAAGCCATATATTTAGGCAAAAATGCTCATCAATACATCCTTGTAAACAATCCAATTGCACAATCTCAATGAATTCAACTCAACCACATTAGTGTTGTCCTGCAATACGTCCTTGTAAACAATCTCATACCCACCTCATCAAATATGCTTATCAACAACAATATCTACAAAATCAACTCTTGCGAGATATTCTTCATTGTCCCAAAAATAAAATTTCGTACAAAAAAAAAATCACTTCTACGATTCAATGGACCGTATAGTAATAGAAATATTCACAATCCAAATTTACAATAAACATTCCCAAATTTAATGTTCACAATAAACATTCCCAAATTTAATGTTAACAAAAATCTTTCACTCGCAACAATCTTCATCGGTCTCCAAGAATTTCTGGATATATTGGTGTTGAGGAATTCCGAATAATGTTTAGATTGGGAACCTATGAAGTAAAAAACTTAATCAGAATCAGTTCAAAGCATAGAATTGAAGGATATCCACAATAATTCATGTTAAATACTTGATTGTAATGTGTGCTAGTCGAGCATTGTGATGAGTTAAGCAATGTAGATCCTTGAAGTAGGGCTCAGAAGTTGGCATATTGAGACTCTCCATTCCATGTCCAAGGCATTGAATTTGGTACTTCAGCTAATGGTTGCCTCATATGTGGGAGCATATTTGAAGATATATGTACATCCTAGAAATTGAAATTTCTTGAAAAGAACTCGAATAAATTTAAAAATGTAAAGATAAGAACACAAAAAAATAAGTATTACTTGCATTGAAGTTGGTACTTGAACATATGGTGGCATCATATATGGGAGCATATTTGAAGAAGCTTGTACATCCTATCAAGATAAGAACTTAGATGAAACCAAGTAACATAAATTGAAAAATTTAAAGAATGTAAAGATAATAAAAAAAAATTAAATAATACCTGAACGCGTTGTTTTTTCTTTCTTGAAGTCTCCAATGCCTTTTCCAAGGTACTTCTAATCCGTCGCCTTCCACGAATGGGGTCAATCCTTTTCTTCAATCCCTTCACTTGAATGACATTTTCACTGCCCTCATTCGTTCTCATTGTAGAGCTAGCATCATTTAAGTTTAGTAGTCCATTGGTGATACGTATACGCAACTTATTTTGAACAAATGCAAGCAATTTTTTCCCTTCCTGAACATAATCTTCATATGTTTCTTCCAATTCAGATGCCTGGGATGAAATCATAGTAAAGAGAGAGCACAATGACTTGTATCTACTGCTCTGTTCCAACTTAGGGTCAGCTTGAATTTCGCGCCCTTTGTAATCTTGGACAATTTCAGCTCTTGCTAATTTGGTCCACCTTTTCAGGACATATTGGCTTGGAATTTCCATTATGATCATTTCATCTTTAAGAACCTTAATAACATAACTACACAATATTCCTTTCATCTCAAACAACCAACAAGAACAAGACAAATTACCATCTTTGTCTTTCTTCACTTCACGCATTGGAGATTGTCGATACGCTTTGACAATATAAACCAAACAATCATCCTTGTGAACACAATTTGCTACGTATAACTCAAGTGAACCGACATATTCATCTTGAAATTCTTCAAAGATAGTCTTTGTGTAAACATCTCCTGCCTGAATCAACATCAGAACTTGGACTTTTATCCTGGGCAACTTATATGACAATGCATACTCAGTTTCATATTCCTTATCGCTTCTCATTAAGCACCTTTTCGAAGTGAGTGAAAAATTGAATCAAATTGTAATATGATCTCAAGTACTCTTTCAAATCAGCATTTAAGCTCTCACTAAGTTGTGTGCTCTTCATCCCTGCTGACCATGTCCACCTAACATATGCCCTAACCCATTTTTTCCTTAAATGAAAAATGCTTTGCAGCCATGAATTATTATGAACATCAAACTCATCTAACATAGCATTCCAAGCTGCAAAAAATTCCTCTTCCTTTTCATACTCATCTATAAACTTTCCCAAAACATTTCTTACCCCACTATGATATGTGTTAGGCATCACATATGAAATAGCCTTAGCCATTACTGCATCTTGATCTGTGAAAATAGTTTTTGGATGTTTATTTAACATTGCCTCTAAAAAAGTTTTAAACAACCATATAAACTAATCGGTTGTTTCATCATACATCAATGCAGCTCCAAAAACAATGGTCTCTCGGTGGTTATTGAAGCCAACGAAAGTAGCAAAAGGTCGGCTCTCTCTATTAATCTTGTATGTTGTGTCAAATGTTATAACATCCCCAAATTGACCGTAGTCAATTATCATTCTAGCATATGTCCAAAAAATATTTGTTATTTGCTCTTCAATATCCAATTGCACAGAATAAAAGAATGAAGGATTTTGTACTGTCTGATCTTGAAACTACTTCAATATGCTCCCTGCTTCACCAAATTCCAACATTTTTTGTTTTTTTGTTCTTAAATAATTCTCTTGATCTTTTTTCAAAAACCTAACACATTCTCCTCCACCTGCCTCTCTACCTATTAACTCATAGGATGACCTAAGAGGTATCCCAGAGTCATTTGCTAAATCTATTTCAATATATTGAGAGGTGGAAATTTTTCTTTGGGAAGGAAGCATATGAGCACATGCACTTACTACAAGGGGATGGTTGTGTGTTTCTACAAAAATGATAACTCTATACTTCCCAATTTGCCTAATTAATTTAATGCTCATCAAAGCACCACAACCGGTCCTTGTCTCCGCCCTAGGAATCCTTATAGCAAAATCTCTTTTATCAGATTTTCTAAGACCCTCCTTAGAACAAACAAATGTCCTTGAAGTAATTTCACCGGTCTTACTTTTGTGAGCATATTCTTTTCTAATACTAAATCCAACTCTTCCTCCATAAGAATTATAAAATTCATAAGCTAATTGTTCAGAGTCAAATTCCATACCTAATATGGATTTACATTGTGTATTATCCTCGCCATGAACGTCCATTTGGGTAGCAATTGTTAAATCATCCATATTCGATATATCCAATACCTAAAATGCAAAAAAGTAAATATGATTTTTTATCTAAGAAATATTTGAAAGCAGTACATGGTTTAATGTTCTTAAATGATATTGAGGCTCTGTTTTACACATTAATGTTCTGTTTCATGCTATCTACTAAATCAATTTTTTCTTTTTCTAAATATTTGATTTGTGGAAAAGTGATTGTCTTCTCCTAAATCAATAGAAAAACTTTACAGAAGTATCTAAAAGCCTAACCTTGATGGATATGACAAATCTGTTTCTACTTAAGAGTGAAAAAAATCTGTTCAGTGAAATATGAGCATCATATACATACCAAATTTTAGGTGGGTTCTCTAAAATTACCAGATTTATGAGCATCATATATAAATGAGCATATAGTAATGAGTTCTCAAACAGACAGACTATTGCTAATCTGTTCAGTGAAATATATAAATGAGATTTATATATGCTCATTTATAAATGAGCATATATAAATGAGCATGAAAACTATTGCTTCTAGATTTTAGGTTGGGTCTTAAATAGACTAGCAAACATATATAAATGAGCATCTAACTTCTAGATTTTCACCATGATTCACACCCATGTTTGCAAGTCCATGATTCATTGAGGCATTTCATCATACACTTGGAATGGATTTGAACCCAAAAAAAAAAAACGAAAAAAATCGAAAAATAAAATACTACAAATCTAACCTTTGGTGTCTACAATTGTTTGGGTAAACAAAGATTTTCAAATGATGGAGTCCAGGAATGGCGAAGCCTGCTACCATCGATTGATTATAAATGGAAAAAAAACTGAATCATAGATAGGGGATTGGGTTATGAGAAAGAGAGAGAGGGAATGAGGGATTGGGTTTTGAATTTATGAAAAAGGCGGGATAAGGGATCTGAATCTGGATATGTAATTCAAAATAAAAAAAAAACTTTCCGTTACATGCCTCCATCTGGCCAAAACGATAGAACTTGGCGTCGTTTTGTTTGTTTCTTGAGCTTCACAGACGTGGCTCCCTTCTCGCCCGTCGGATCCGTTGTCGCCATGCGGCTCCATCTGGTGGAATGGCTGAAGGGAGCCGGACTGTAAAGCGCTGGAGAGGAGGTGAATCCAAACATATGGTGAGACCTTCTCAGCTTCTCAAACCAGTTGGGGGTGTAGCAGAATAAAAAAATAAAATCATTCCATTCATAAATAAGTTCATTATTAGATTGGCTCTTGAAGGCTTGCTGAGTAAGTTCCTTCAACAGTCAACCATTAAGGCCTCGTTTGGGAACATGCTATTTTAGTAACTTTTTGATTTTTTGGCTAAAATATGAGGTAAAAAAAATAGTATGTTTGGGATGACTTTTTGACTTTTTACGAAAAGATGTGCAAAAAGTAGAGAAAAACATTAGTAGGAGAACAGTCTTCTATTGAACAGTTTAGTATGAACATGGGTGATACGGATTACTCAATGTCTACTGCAGGTAATGTTCCCAACCGTGCTGACTCTACTAAAACTGGGAAAAAACGGGCTCGACCTGTTGAGGGGATTCCCACTGAACTATCAGAGATGGCAAAAAATCTTGGATAATTCATTGAGAATACTATACTATGATGGTGGAGATTGCTCATAGGATAGGATATTCACATGACCTATCCCAACAGAGGAGGTTGGTTAATGCAGAACTTCTGAAGTTGCTAAAGGGTAATACCCAAAGATTGATGGCAACATCTATGATAGAGTACGACTTAAAAAATAAAAAAAAATGTCGGGAGGCACTCGAACCCCTGGTCCCTTACTAACTCCATCCCTGCCAACGAGGCAATGTGGTGTGGCTTTTATCAACATCCACTTATTTGCCCTTGAAACCTTGGTCAAAGACTATTCTCATGCGTTATTTTCACACTCTATTAGTTTAATAGGGTCATTAAACTATAACTCATTTACATTTTATTCTCATGAATTTCAAAATGCAACAATTAATTATCTAGAACTATTATCTTGTTACACTTGACACCTTATAGTAGGGGTTCTTTCTCGAGATTTAAACAAAATCAAGTCGTGTGTGAAGTATAACAAACTTATTGATTTTTTAGATAATAATACATGTGATTGATTTTTTAGGACAATAATACCCTTATCTAGTGATCTCATTTTACTTTGTTTTCTTTATCTTAGTGGCAAAGTTCAAACGAAATCACCAGATAAGAGCATTATTGCCTTATAAATTCAATCAACATGTCATGTGCTTTACACATTACCTAAAATCTCTAACAAAATCCTAATGGAAGGGGTTAAGTGTAATAAGATAATACTTTAATATGGTTGATTGTTGAATTTTGAATTTCAGATGGACAAAATGCAAATCGGTTATAATTTAAGGGGATTTACAATAATTTACCCTAATAAATAAAGTAAATAAATAAAAATGAAAACTTACCAAAAATGTAAAAAACAAAACTACCTAAAATGAAGATGACTAAATGATGCAGCTGTCACGTATGTTTCTTAACATCCCAGTGACAAGAGGACGCGGGGCAGGTGCTGTGACAGCACTGTGCTGTCACAACAAACATTGTTGCATCATTGATATATATATATATATATATTACTATAATAAATAAGAAAAGGTAAGTGTAAAAGTTTGACAAAATTATTGCATCTTATATATATGCATGTATATACATGATATTATATTCAAAAGTGTTGATTAGATTATATATTCAAACCTTGGTGATTTGTCTGTGAAGTTTGAAAAAGTGAACAAAGAAAATTTATACAAAAGAAAAGGTGCCCATGATTACAAGAGAAGACTTATGTAATTGTAAATCAATCTTTGAAAATGTTTTGCCTACAGAATTAAAAAGAAAAGTTGCAAAATTCTTTGATTTTGCTTGCATAAGAAAATAGACACAAAATCATGTAGTTCTTGACTTCAAGGAGTCCATAATGATGGAGCAAAATCAATTCCCTATTTGAATTCAAAGATGTGATTCAAATTGTTTACAAATCGGTGGCTCATATTTGAATTTTGTATCATGTCACACATACACACACACACACACACACACACATATATATATACCAATGAAACAAGAAAAAAAAATTGAAGCAAATTATTTGCTTGGTTGAAAGTTGTGTTTTATATCAAAATTTTCTAAAACGGTGGCTGCATTTTTGACTAAATAAAAAGGGAAAAGAAAAAGTTACTCTTACTAATTATTTTCATCTTTTTCTTTATTAACATGTGCTGAATATTAAAATTAAGAAGCGTGCTTATGTAAGCCATGATGTCAGCAAGGAGTGTCCAACGGGTATATTTTTGTGTATAAATAGAAGTATTGTGTGTGGAAAAAAATCAAGAACTTGAAGAGAAAATTTTCTGTGAGCTCCAAAATTTTGAGTATATTGTATTCTGCTCTTTCACTTTCAGATCTAAGTCTAGCTTTTGTTTTTACACTTTCATATTTACTCTTTGTGAGAGAATTATTGTAAAAGGAGGTTTAAGTACCACTTATTCTCATTCCTTATTTTTGTGAGAGATTTTGTAAGGGTAAGACATTTATTGTTGAATGAGGCTCAATAGATAAGAGTAAGTGCTGTGCCAAATCCACAAGTTTGGTGGTGTATTTATTCAATTGATAGTAAAGAAATTCTCAAGGAGGTTCCTTGGGGAGTGGATGTAGGCTTGGCGTGCCGAACCACTATAAATCGCAGTGTTTGATTTTCTCTCCCTATCTCTCTTACTTTTATATTGATAATTATTATTCTATTTTTTTTATTTATTAAAATTCTGAATATTGTGTTAATTTTAATATTGTGAAATTTTTAATAACTAATTCACCCCCCCTCTTGGGTTGCCTATCTAGGATAACAATCATTTAGAGAGCCAGACATGCCAAAGAAAGCATGCCAAATCCACAAGTCATAGGAGACAACTGCCTCGAGTACAACTGTTGGTTTGTGATAATGTCCAGTGTAAGCACCGGCTTGGGCAGTTGGACATTTATCCTAACACTAGGGCATCCAATCCAAACTCCCTAACATTCCAGGAAACCCGCGTTGCTCTCCCTCTTGAAATAATCTGGCGACATCTGCTTCATTTGGAGATCTTAAGTAAACGGCTTCATAGGTAGCAATAATTAATTTGGTAAAAAAATTTAAGGCGGCAATTGTAGTACTTTCGGCGATTCTAATTTACTCGTCTATAGTATCAGCAGGTATGCCATACTGGAGGATCCGAAGTGCTACAGTCATCTTCTGTACACTGGATAATCCAGGAGCACCAGTAGCATCACGGGTTTGGATGAAGTACTCATTCATTTGTTGAATATCGTGTAAGATACTAACAAACAATGACTGCCTCATTTGAAAATGTCTTCGGAAGTATTCTTTTGGATAGACAGGATTATCTACAAAATAATCTCTATAAATTTGTTTATCGCCTTTGACCCTCTCATGATTAATGTATCGATGACCACTTGTGGAACCAACATATTTGGTTTGTTGGTTTAGGCTTAACCTCTGTAATATTTGTTGTTGTGCTGTGAATAGTTGCATCATGATGATATCATCATCAGATGATGAAGATTCATCAAAATCTTCATTCAATATAACTTTAGTCAAATTGTTCATTGTAAGTGGATGGGTGAGTGGGTGAATATGAAAATTGTAGAAAATCTTTTACGTAGATACAGGGAGTTTAGAAGATATGAAAATGATGGGTAGGTGAATATGAAAATTGTAGAAAACCTTGTGTTATATTTATAGAGAAAATTGTGAGTGGGTGAATGATGGATGGTTGTTGGATGGGTAGATGAATAATGGACGGTTGTTGGGTGGGTGGATAATGGGTGGTTGTTGGGTGAATAGTTGTGAGTGAATGAATGCTGGGTTAATAATGGATGGTTGTTGGTAGTTGGTTGTTGGTGAATAATTGGTGATTGTTTATTTTTTATGTGTAATTAAAAAAATTTATTAAATATGTAGTGATATGTTTTTTGGTGGGGGTGAATTAATCAAACAATTTTTTTTTTCAATTTTTCATTTTTTTAATTTTTTATATTTGTCTAGTTAGGAAGAATATACATATATAATTTTTTTAACAAACAGGTAAAAAAATGTCACAAAACACAAAAAATAAACAAAAATAAATTACAAAAAAACCTATATCCAAACAACACTAACAAACTTGGAGGGAAAGTTAGTTGAGATTTGCCAAAATAGCAAATGACTATTGGAGCACCATTGCTATAATTTGGCAAAATAACACTATTCAATGCCAAATTATAGCAATGACAATAGCATTATAGCAATAATGGTTGGAGATGCTCTAACTATTGTTCCCAAACACCACTACAATATCTTATTCTGAATAGACATACATACATATGCACATATGCTAATGTCCTATCTTTTGGTAAAAATATTGTGTGTCTACGTTCTGGTGTAAGTACTTTAAGGAATTGTCATGTTTCAAGGTTTCATTTGGAATTCGGATAAATTAAACAAAAATTAGGAATTTCAAAAGAACATGGCCTGCCTTAGAAAAAAGACACAAATGTTTCTCTATACAAGTCCAAGATCCATATTTATGAATGGCTTCATGAATTGAACATTAATAGATTTTCTATCACTGACATCATTCTCTCTTTCCACTCCCTTGTGGCAAGCACATTGAACTTTCTTTAACTATGGCTCTAGTGAGTTTCCTTAACAAAGGCACTTCTATGGGTTGCAGACTACAGTCACAAACATATGGGATCTCCCTCCTTTCCAGCCCTCTTTAGTTCGGCTTCATCCAGCCATTTCACCAGATGGAGACGCATGGCGTTTGATAGATCTGAAGGCACCAAGGAGGCCACGTCTATGGAGTTGCTGAGTTAACAAAATGACACCGAAATTAGTCGTTTTGGGTTAACAGAAGGTGACTAACGGGATGATTCAACACTTATAATAAATATAATAGATAAATGATTTAATTTAATAAAAAATTTCAAACCCAAAATTAAATTTTAAGCCAAAAAAGATCCCAACAAGTTAATTTTTTATATATATAAAAAAAAAAATTAGTTGACCGGCCGGACTTCCGGCCAGTCTACCGGTCAGACCAATTTTTTTTTTCTTTTATTCCTTTTCTTGAGAGCTCTAAGGACTACAAAGAGATTGGCTTTTTAAATTCTGATGTTCCTTGCCTGAATCAATTACATAACAAATGATGTTCAGCTAATAAAGTGATTGGCTTCTTCAAAGATAGTCTGTGTAACAAATGATAGTCTTTGAAATTTGATGTTCCCTTAGTCTAAGCCAATCTATTGTATAACAAATCAGATTTCAATGATAGTCTTCAAAGACAGTTTACACAAAGACTATCTTTGAACATCAGGCAGGAGATGTTTACACAAAGACTATCTTTGAGATCAGATTTCCTTTTCTTGTTTTCCTACATTAATTGCAACATATTAGACTGAAGTTAAAGGAAACTCTATGAAACAGCACAAAAGCAACCATAATTTATGAAACATGATGGTGACAGTTTCAAAATCTAGAAGCCATATATTTAGGCAAAAATGCTCATCAATACATCCTTGTAAACAATCCAATTGCACAATCTCAGCGAATTCAACTCAACCACATTAGTGTTGTCCTGCAATACATCCTTGTAAACAATCTCATACCCACCTCATCAAATATGCTTATCAACAACATCTATAAAATCAACTTTTCCGAGATATTCTTCATTGTCCCAAAAATAAAATTTCGTACCCAAAAAAAATCACTTCTACGATTCAATGGACCGTGTAGTAATAGAAATATTCACAATCCAAATTTACAATAAACATTCCCAAATTTAATGTTCACAATAAACATTCCCAAATTTAATGTTCACAATAAACATTCCCAAATTTAATGTTCACAATAAACATTCCCAAATTTAATGTTCACAATAAACATTCCCAAATTTAATGTTCACAATAAACATTCCCAAATTTAATGTTCACAATAAACATTCCCAAATTTAATGTTCACAATAAACATTCCCAAATTTAATGTTCACAATAAACATTCCCAAATTTAATATTAACAAAAATCTTTCACTTGCAACAATCTTCATCGGTCTCCAAGAATTTCTGGATATATTGGTGTAGAGGAATTCCGAATAATGTTTAGATTGGGAACCTATGAAGTAAAAAACATAATCAGAATCAGTTCAAAGCATAGAATTGAAGGATATCCACAATAATTCATGTTGCATACCTGATTGTAATGTGTGCTAGTCGAGCATTGTGATGAGTTAAGCAAAGTAGATCCTTGAAGTAAAGCTCAGAAGTTGGCATATTGAGGCTCTCCATTCCATGTCCAAGGCATTGAATTTGGTACTTCAGCTAATGGTTGCCTCATATGTGGGAGTATATTCGAAGATATATGTACATCCTAGAAATTGAAATTTCTTGAAAAGAACTCGAATAAATTTAAAAATGTAAAGATAAGAACACAAAAAAATAAGTATTACCTGCATTGAAGTTGGTATTTGAACATATGGTGGCATCATACATGGGAGCATATTTGAAGATGTTTGTACATCCTATCAAGATAAGAACTTAGATGAAACCAAGTAACATAAATTGAAAAATTTAAAGAATGTAAAGATCATAATTTTTTTTTTTAAATAATACCTGAACGCGTTACTTTTTCTTTCTTGAAGTCTCCAATGCCTTTTCCAAGCTACTTTTAATCCGTCGCCTTCCACGAATGGCGTCAATCCTTTTCTTCAGTCCCTTCGCTTGAATGACATTTTCACTGCCCTCATTCATTCTCATTGTAGAGCTAGCATCATTTAAGTTTAGTGGTCCATTGGTGATACGTATACGCAACTTATTTTGAACAAATGCGAGCAATTTTTTCCCTTCCTGAACACAATCTTCATATGTTTCTTCCAATTCAGATGCCTGGGATGAAATCATAGTAAAGAGGGAGCACAATGACTTGTATCTACTGCTCTGTTCCAACTTAGGGTCAGCTTGAATTTCGCGCCCTTTGTAATCTTGGACAATTTCAGCTCTTGCTAATTTGGTCCACCTTTTCAGGACATATTGGCTTGGAATTTCCATTATGATCATTTCATCTTTAAGAACCTTAATAACATAACTACACAATATTCCTTTCATCTCAAACAACCAACAAGAACAAGACAAATTACCATCTTTGTCTTTCTTCACTTCACGCATTGTAGATTGTTGATATGCTTTGACAATATAAACCAAACAATCATCCTTGTGAACACAATTTGCTACGTATAACTCAAGTGAACCCACATATTCATCTTGAAATTCTTCAAAGATAGTCTTTGTGTAAACATCTCCTGTCTGAATCAACATCAGAACTTGGACTTTTATCCTGGGCAACTTATATGACAATGCATACTCAGCTTCATATTCCTTATATCGCTTCTCATTAAGCACCCTTTCAAAGTGAATGAAAAATTGAATCAAATTGTAATCTGATCTCAAGTACTCTTTCAAATCAGCATTTAAGCTCTCACTAAGTTGTGTGCTCTTCATCCCTGTTGACCATGTCCATCTAACATATGCCCTAACCCATTTTTTCCATAAATGAAAAATGCTTTGCAGCCATGAATTATTATGAACATCAAACTCATCTAACATAGCATTCCAAGCTGTAAAACTTCCTCTTCCTTTTCATACTCATCTATAAACTTTCCCAAAACATTTCTTACCCCACTATGATATGTGTTAGGCATCACATATGAAATAGCCTTAGCCATTGCTGCATCCTGATATGTGAAAATAGTTTTTGGATGTTTATTTAACATTGCCTCTAAAAAAGTTTTAAACAACCATATAAACTAATCGGTTGTTTCATTATACATCAATGCAGCTCCAAAAACAATGGTCTCTCGGTGGTTATTGAAGCCAACGAAAATAGCAAAAGGTCGGCTCTCTCTATTAATCTTGTATGTTGTGTCACATGTTACATCATCCCCAAATTGACCGTAGTCAATTATCATTCTAGCATATGTCCAAAAAATACTATTTATTTGCTCTTCAATATCCAACTGCACAGAATAAAAGAATGAAGGATTTTGTGCCGTCTGATCTTGAAAATACTTCAATATGCTCCCTGCTTCACCAAATTCCAATATTCTTTGTTTTTTTGTTCTTAAATAATTCTCTTGATCGTTTTTCAAAAACCCAACACATTCCCTTCCACCTGTCTCTCTACCCATTAACTCATAGGATGACCTAAGAGGTATCCCACAGTCATCTGCTAAATCTATTTCAATATATTGAGAGGTGGAAATTTTTCTTTGGGAAGGAAGCATATAAGCACATGCCCTTACTACAAGGGGATGGTTGTGTGTTTCTACAAAATTGATAACTCTATACTTCCCAATTTGCCTAATTAATTTAATACTCATCAAAGCACCACAACCGGTCCTTGTCTCCGGCCTAGGAATCCTTATAGCAAAATCTCTTTTATTAGATTTTCTAAGACCCTCCTTAGAACAAACAAATGTCCTTGAAGTAATTTCACCGGTCTTACTTTTGTGAGCATATTCTTTTCGAATACTAAATCCAACTCTTCCTCCATAAGAATTATAAAATTCATAAGCTAATTGTTCAGAGTCAAATTCCATACCTAATATGGATTTACATTGTGTATCATCCTCGCCATGAACGTCCATTTGGGTAGCAATTGTTAAATCATCCATCTTCGATATATCCAATACCTAAAATGCAAAAAAATAAATATGATTTTTTATCTAAGAAATATGTGAAAGCAGTACATGGTTTAATGTTCTTAAATGATATTGAGGCTCTGTTTTACACATTAATGTTCTGTTTCATACTATCTACTAAATCAATTTTTTCTTTTTCTAAATATTTGATTTGTGGAAAAGTGATTGACTCCTCCTAAATCAATAGAAAAACTTTACAGAAGTATCTAAAAGCCTAACCTTGATGGATATAACAAATCTGTTTCTACTTAAGAGTGAAAAAAATCTGTTCAGTGAAATATGAGCATCATATACATACCAGATTTTAGGTGGGTTCTCTAAAATTACCAGATTTATGAGCATCATATATAAATGAGCATATATTAATGAGTTCTCAAACAGACAGACTATTGCTAATCTGTTCAGTGAAATATATAAATGAGATTTATACATGCTCATTTATAAATGAGCATATATAAATGAGCATGAAAACTATTGCTTCTACATTTTAGGTGGGTTCTTAAACAGACTAGCAAACATATATAAATGAGCATCTAACTTCCAGATTTTCACCATGATTCACACCCATGTTTGCAAGTCCATGATTCATCGAGGCATTTCATCATACACTTGGAATGGATTTGAACCCAAAAAAAAAAAACGAAAAAAATCGAAAAATAAAATACTACAAATCTAACCTTTGGTGTCTACAATTGTTTGGGTAAACAAAGATTTTCAAATGATGGAGTCCAGGAATGGTGAAGCCTGCTACCGTCAATTGATTATAAATGGAAAAAAAATTGAATCATAGATAGGGGATTGGGTTTTGAGAAAGAGAGAGAGGGAATGAGGGATTGGGTTCTGACTTTATGAAAAAGGCGGGATAAGGGATCTGAATCTGGATATGTAATTCAAAATAAAAAATAAAAAACAAACTTTCCGTTACATACCCCCATCTGGCCAAAACAATAGACCTTGGCGTCGTTTTGTTTGTTTCTTGAGTTTCACAGACGTGGCTCCTTTCTCGCCCGTCGGATCCGTTGTCGCCATGCGGCTCCATCTGGTGGAATGGCTGAAGGGAGCCGGACTGTAAAGCGCTGGAGAGGAGGTGAATCCAAACATATGGTGAGACCTTCTCAGCTTCTCAAACCAGTTGGGGGTGTAGCAGAATAAAAAAATAAAATCATTCCATTCATAAATAAGTTCATTATTAGATTGGCTCTTGAAGGCTTGCTGAGTAAGTTCCTTCAACAGTCAACCATTAAGGCCTCGTTTGGGAACATGCTATTTTAGTAACTTTTTAATTTTTTGGCTAAAATATGAGGCAAAAAAAATAGTACGTTTGGGATGACTTTTTGACTTTTTACGAAAAGATGTGCAAAAAATAGAGAGAAAAGAGAATCTTTGATTTTTTGGTATAAATTGTTGATTTTTTGATTTTTTTAGTAACTTTTTGACTTTTAGGCTAAAACAATCACTTGCTAAACGAGGCCAAGTACAAATTGCAATTCTAAGAGAGCTCAAAACTCTTCCACTAGTGCGTTGCACCTGGATATAACTAATTGCCCAACTAAAAAATTGTAATTGTAATGTTTCACAAGCATATAGACACCCTCAATTAATCACTAGTTATAAAACTCAACACACTTGTATGTATGCTCCAAAGAATTCTAGAAAACTCAAATAAATTGCAGCACTACGTTCCAACTAAAAGAAAACATTCAAAATTAGTTCTAACCCAATACAGTTAACACGGAGCACATAATCCCCACTACATACATTCATGTAAACCAAGGGGTTCAAATTCTAAGGAATAATGAAAAAGAATAATAAATTTTAAGATCACCTCCAAGGTCCCCAAAAGCTGCCCGAGCATTCTTTTGTTCCTCTTAATTACAAAAAGAAAAAAGAAATGAGCTTTTCACTATGGAATTATGATGGAATTATGGTGTTTAAGAGAAGTTTAGAAGTTAAAGACGAAGTAGGCAACCAAAGATGGAGAGAATTTACATTGTCTATTATGTTGGCTTGAAAGTCAATTTATAGAACACATCTTACATATACAAACAAAACCATAAAGTCATCATAGGCTACTAACATTATTACATTATAGAAAATTAGCACACCAATAAGGCTAAAATTTTGCACCTTTGCTACCAAAGGCTATAAGCCTAGACATAGGCTTGGACAAAAGTTCTACAAAAAATAAATACACGATTAAAAAAAGTCGTGAGACCAATAAATAATAACCTACCATTATTGGTCATATTCTGACAATATATACACTGTCTACTTGGGTCAAAATCCTTAGGCAATACCTTTGGAACATGCTTTGTTACAGGAACTTCAAAATCCTAATTACACAGAAAACAATTATAAAGGGTTCTTCAATCTTAGCCAATAAACCAAAACACTAATCACATCATTCACTCTATTTTTTAACACAACTTTTTGTAAAAAGTAAAAAACACTGACAAAAATGGCATGTTCTAAACAGCCCCTAGATAAATAACTAACAATCAGCCCCAACAAAACAAGGAAGACAAGTAAAAGCACTTTAAACTTTTACCACTTTAGGTGGTCTTTGATTGCCATCATATCGAACTTCACCAAGTGGATAGCTTTCTCTCACTCTGGTTTTCTGTGACAATGTCAGCAGCATTACCTTCCACATTTGAATCCTCATCGATCTCTCCATCATTAGCCTTCAATCCCAATCAAGAATAGACCAAAATTCAACATAAACCCAGATGTGAATTAGGGCAAAAAAGGAAGAAGATTATGTTAGAACAATCTTTTGTATAATAAATAAATTGAAACAAAATAAAATAAATAAAATAAATGACTTACAAAATTTATTTTATCGAATGAAAAATAAAAGATCAAGTTGAGTGTGTGACACTCTGTCCTTAAGACAGATTCGCCCCGCTACGGTGCTTGCGGTTAAGTGGCGTCTATCTCCCAAGATACAATGATCTTCACAAATTTGTAGTAGCACTCCAAACAGATTTTTCCGGCGAACTAGAACCATGTGCTATAATACTCTCTTTAATTTTCTCTAACACTAGAATGAAGAATAAAATGCAAAGGAGAAATATAGACTGCAAAAATGAATTTTTCTAACTGTTTATGGGATACCAAGACTACTGGAACAAATCTGAATTTATAGGCAAAAATTTTGTTCCGAACAGGTACGTTCAAGAAGTGAACAGGTGTAGTTTTGAATTTGAACAGATGCTGTTTGAATTCAAATAGATCTGCAAACTGTTTCAACAGATTAACTGCTGTAGTTATTTATCTGTTCAGAAACTATCCAAAACCGAATCTGTTATGGTCTTTTTGAACTTGCTGGACATGAACCGAATGGGGAAAGAAATTAGGACATAAATTAAATTCAAATTTGAATTTAATTAAATTTTTCTACAAGTAATTTTTGAAAAAATTCAAAAGAATTTTGTCCAAAAAATTAATACAAGAACCGACCCACAACTACGCCCAGACAGTGGCAGCGGTGCGTGTGTGGTGGTTTGAGCTAAAGTTCATTTTGCCCATAACTCCTCTCTTCTACAAACTTGAGGTGCCCATTGGGACCCAACCCAATTATTGTACTCTAGAGCTTATATATATACACAAGCTCTCTTAAAGTTTTAATGTGGTACAACCCATTTCAAGGAAACCCACATTTCATTCTTTAGATGTCCAATTCCACGAATCCGAAAATAACGTCAACTTCCCATTCACTCATAAATGGTTTTGATGAATCGTTTTCACCGTGTGACTTGCCATGCGGTAAGGAATACGTCACCTCTTCGGACTCACCCCAAACGACGTTTGGGGCCTACTCAATTTTGGGCTCAAAGTTGGCCTAAAATAAGCCTTATAAAAACCAATTTTCCAAGAGATTAATTTGCCATTGTTGGCGTTCGAGTTGTTCGATCTCACCAGTGCAGCGACAACCTTGCGGCCAAGTAAAAATGAATTAAAAATAATAATAATAATTTGGCTGTGTTTTTTATTTTCTTTTAATTTTAGGGTAAATTACGAATACATTCTTGAGATTTGATTAAAATACGAATCGCCTCCTATCACTACAGGAAAAAACAAAAAGTCCTTTTTTAGTCGCCAAAAGTCGAGTTTTCACTTTCCTCGACTAAATATTTTAGTCGCCAGTTTTGTCGCGTGTAGATGGTCGGCGGAGGTATTGGCGACTAAAAAAATTTTAGTCGGCAAAGTTTTAGTCTTCAGCGACCAAAGAATTTGTCGCCAATAGTCAATTACATTTTTGAAAATTATACATTTAGCGACTAATCTTTTAGTCGCAAATAGTGAATTATTATTTTTTTTAATTTATACATTTGCCGACTAAAAAGTGGTCGCCAAAAGCATATTTCAGAAAAAAAAATTACACTCTACTGTTCCCAAGATTTGAACCACCGACCCATCCCACATTCCAAACTTTTACCAACACACTCTCCCCACTATGCCACTACAACATCACATGAATATAATTGCAACATAAATTATTTATATATTACTTTGACCGGTATTTATACAAAACTATATATATAAAAGTAATTATTTTTATTCAATATAATTTATGTAAAAAAAAAATTATTTACTAAAAAACAAATTAGATCACTTTTGGCGACTAAAAATTAGATTTAGTCGCCAAAAACGTCCCCTTTTGGCTACTAAACTAAATTTTAGTCGCCAATTGACTGTTTTTAGCTACTAATTTTTTTTAGTAGCCAAAAAGCTTCACTTTCAGCGACCAAACTGTTTTTCAGTCGCCAAAACCTATACTTTTGGCTACTAAATTATTTTAGTCGCCAAAAACTATCACTTTTGGCTACTAAAAAACCTTTAGTCGCTAAAACCCCTATATTCGGCGACTAAACTGACTTTTAATCGCTAAAACCCTTATATTCGGCGACTAAACTCTTTTAGTCGGCAAAAGTGATCAATTTTGGGGACTAATTCCATTTTAGTCGCCA